CACAGCAAACAGATCCATAAATCGATTCAAACCCTAAATCGATTCAAGCATTACAACCAGCAAACCCTAAATCGATTCAAGCAAAGCAACAAGCAAACCCTAAATCGATTCATAGCGATGGAGAAGGAAATCGTGTACCTGATGAAGGAGAAGGAGGGTGCGATGGAGAAGGAAATCGATTCAAACCTCCCGTCGCCGTCGCCGATGGGGAAGGACGCACGATGAGGGTGCGATGGAGGCAGTCTGAGAATGGAGGAGCGAGTGCGATGGAGTCTGAGCATGGAGGAGCGAGTGAGCATGGAGGAGCGATGGAGAAGGAAATCGATTCAAACCTCCCGTCGCCGATGGGGAAGGACGCACGATGAGGGTGCGATGGAGGCAGTCTGAGAATGGAGGAGTGAGTGAGATGGAGTCTGAGCATGGAGGAGCGAGCATGGAGGAGCGATTGAGGGTAAATTAGTAAAAAAAAAGTCTGTTCCACTTAGTTCCAGGGGTAAAGGGTGAACACCCGTGTCCCATGTGTGTGCAAGTTAGTTCCAGTTAGTTCCATTTAAAAACACACCAAACGTGGGACAAGTGTGTCCTGTCCTGTCCTGTTCCACCCTGTTCCACGTACCAAACGCACCCTAAAAGACGAAAATGTCCCTTTTATGAAAGACACAACTGATTTAGAGAATCATGTTTTAACAGTGTTTGGACAACCGATGTACTTGATGAACTATAGGCACCAAAATAAGAAGCATTTATGGACCAGGAATCAAAAATATAATTCACTCTTTAATAAATAAAAAACTAGAATGAATTACATTAGGAAATTTCTGTTATCTGCCCAAAATCTGGTTTCATCGGTAAACTAGGCTATCTATACTAATGGTCCATAAATGACAGATTTGCCATCGTCTGACAGACACATTATGGGTCTAATGGTAGCTAAAGTGACAATGATAATTATATGGACCATGAGTGTTATGAAACTGAAAAGTTAAAACTATTAATGTTGATAGTTCATGTAAGCGACGAAGTCGATATTAATTTTGAGCAAACCATAAGGTGTAATTCACTCTTATTTTTCTAAACCATAAGATTTTAATTCCACAATTACCTAGCCCGGTAGGTGGAGGAAAAAAGCGAAGAACCATATTTTTTTATATAAATTAATTTTAAAATAATAAATATATTAATAAAAATGAGTTTTTTTTTTGTTCTTTTTGATGTGACATCTATCCGTATATAGATTTCTATTTTTAACTATTTTTTATATGAAATTGTATGTTTGTGTAAAATTAATTCTAAATGTTCATGTGCTTTCACTTATATACTACAACTCTTCAACATTCATATATCAATATGATATTCATCATAAATATAACCTTTCACTATAATATTCACCATAAAACACATGTTAGTCATTATGAATATTCACGTTTACATGTATACCATAGTTTTATGTATTCATATATGTATCAATATGATATTTATCATGAATATTCATTTTTACTATAATATTTTTTTTTTGTAAGGGTGTCCGGGCCAAAGCCCGACTAATCCCCGGCAAATTTGGAGGCTAAACATGGCCTCACTTAAATGTCACCAACACTCCTCTCCCAGGGCTCGAACTCGGGTTCATGACTATGTCATGCCCAAACCTTTACCACTAGGCTGGAAGGTCTTTGACTATAATATTTATTAGGAGTATACTATTGTTTCAACCCTACATACAGTTTCTTTATTGGGTTCTCAATTGGTTGTAATGGGATCTTAGTTGGTCTCGATCTGTCTCAGTGGGTTCTTGATTGGTTTCGATGGGTTCTCGATCCTTCTTCATAGATTCACGATTGGACTTGAAGGGTTTTATATTAGTATTCGATTACCTCTAGATTAGTTCTAGATGGAAGATGAAGGTGATGACTTATGGTTTTACATAGAATAAATTAATCTATGAGTTGTCGATTTAAGGCTTCTAGATCATTCTCGATGGGGTCTCAATTAGTCTTGATGAAAGATGAATGTGGTGGGTTAAGTTATGGTTTTACACACACAAACACGATAAGCCAATAGATGGGTTCTTGGTTGATCTCGATCGGTCTTGTTGTTTTATTGATCAATCTTAATGCATAGGTTTTCAATCGGTCTTGATAGGTCATCGATTGGTTTCGATGGATTCTTGATTGTTCTCGATGGAAGGTGAAAGTGGTGGGTTATGGTTATACAAACACTAAAATGGTAATTATGGTTGAATTTGTAAGAGATGGAACAATTACACAAACACATATCAAATTAGCAGTGTTTGTGGTGCGTTTTGATACTGTTTAGGACCAAACTGCAAATTGCACTACATATGCGGTTTGAAGATTTTTCCCAAACCGCAAATTGCACCACATATATGCCTCAAACCACTATTAAAAATATGACTTTTTCCTTACAGATTTTATGCCTGAAAATTATCGATGCATTATTGACGAATATAAAAAAGTCAACTTTCGCCACAAAACCACCACTAATTATTTAAAAAAGTAGAAATTTATTCTAGTCAATTTTCCATTGGATTATGGCGGGTGCATTTATTTATTTGTTTAGTTATATTTTAAAAATAATTAGTTAATATTACAGACGGATTTTAATTAATTATTTTTATAATTAAAATTCGCCGGCAAAATTTAATTTTTCTTCAAAATTTTCTTGAAAAAATAATTGACTTTTTTTATTACAGGCGGATGGGATGGCTGTCAGTAATCCGTCGGTAATATAGAAAAATAATTTTTTATTAAATTTCTTGAAATTTTTTTATTATTAATGTATGATATTTGGCTTTACATTTTTAGCAGTTTTTTTTAATATTTACAAGATTTATAATTTAAAATCAATAAAAAAATTGAATCGGGTGTTTTTCTGAGGGATTACCGGTGGATTTAATCTGAAGAAAATAGGTTAATTTTTTTAAAACGATTATTTAAAAAATAAAATTTTCAGGGGAATTATATAGTCCGCCGATGACTTAATTTACTTTTTAAATATAAAATCAATTCTATTAAAAAAATAGAATTTATAAATTACCTGCGGATAATTCGTCTGAAATCTACTGGTACACTAATGAATATTATTGTTCAAGGTAATTATTAAGACAAGTAAATCGGGAATATTTTAGAAAATGGAGTGGCGAATTTCCGACGATCAGAACTTGTCGGAATCCACCGGTGATTTACATTTCCGGCGATCCTTTTTCTGGCAGGGTAATCCTACGGTAAATTCATTTTTCGACGGATTTTCGGCCGATTTTTCCACCCGAAAAAGTCTCATGTTTTATAGTGAATCGCAAAAAATCACACCTTAAAATGCAATGCAGTACGGTGTAGATTATACGAGTCGAACGTAATACACTTCAGTCCAATAATTATAAAATAACAACTTAAAATAAATTCGACTATTATAATCCTATATTTCATACAATAAAAACTTCTGATACTAAATGCCTGATCAAAAAATGTAATGCAAACTAAATAGTTCGATCCGTAATTAATCCGCTAATCCAAGTCCATCTCAAAAGTTAACTTAAAAGTAATTTCAACCACGATATGATAAAATACAAACGAAAATAATTCAAATAATGAATTTGCAATATATATAAAACTTAAAAGAAAAACTGAAAATTGATAAATAACTATTTTCATTTGATAAATGATTAATATATTTAATAAATATAAATATCTATATTATATTTATAAAACATTTGACAAAAACTTTTAAAAACCATTTTTTATACACGCACGAAGTACTGTTTATTGATGCATATTACTTAAACTTTAAGATTACAAGTAATTTTGTATAAATACAACTTATTAAACTTGTAATCGTTTTGATTTAGTAACTATAAATCAAAAACGTTATGACAAACAATAACGAAAACAATATGGAAGGGTGCATGTCTTTTACGGTGAAAGGCATTGCATGAGATTTTTTTAATTAATTAAACATTTACTAATTTAACTTTTTGATATTTTCTAATTGAAATGGTCAATTAATTAGGGTTCTTAGATTAAAACTGCTGGATGTATTAATTAAATTGGTTTCTAAAGTTCACAACTTTTTTATAAACCTTCCTCTCTCTCTCTCTATACATACATATATACATACATACATACATATATATATATATATATATATATTAATTAATTAAACACACTGATTGATTAAAAAGGGAAAGAAGTAGAAATTGCTGATCAAACTTATTCGATTCAAAGAAAGAGATGAAAACTTGATAGCTTGTAATAGTAGAAATTAATAACCAAGGCCACTTTTGGTGGATGTATCTTTCTATTTTGGGTAAGCCCGCAAGAGCAGTAGAACTAGTGATCATTTAGTAAGACAAAAGCAAAGCATTACAGTTGACAATTGACTAAACTCTAGACTGACCTCAGTCTATCTCATGTTCATAAGAAGACAAAAAATTAACCTGAAGTTTTTAAGCGTTTTACCAAGCCAAGGAGAAACAAAGAAAATCACACAAAACCTAATTGTCTCGAGTCTTGAATGCATAAACATTGGGTATCTTCATCTTGACAAATGAATGCCCAGATCTCATAAAACAATGCTTCTTAGGATCAGGGGTGTTACCTGTATTCCAAGTGCAGGGTGAAAAGGGAGAGGGGAGAAAGAGAGAGAGAGAGAGAGAGAGAGAGAGAGAGAGTGTGTGTGTGTGTGTGTTGTGAAATGGAGAGCTGGAGAGGGAAAGAGTAGGAGAACTTGAAAAAGCTTTGCGGTGAACACGCGCAAGTTCACAGATAAACAGGTCCATCATTGACTGATTCGTTCATGGAAATCAACAGTTGCAAATAAATTGAAGCTTTTAGATCTGAAAATAAGAGATAACCAAGGTTACATATATGTTCATAGAGGCTCTGTGTGAGAAGTTTGCCCTTTCTCCATAAGTGATCTGAACTCTAGTGGTGAATTGGCTGGATAAGACAATTGCCCTTTACAGCCAACAGTTGCTTGGTCGATGCTGTTTGCTATTTGAATCTGGTTTGAAGCAGCTAAGGCTGCTGATGAGGAAGCAGCAGCTGCTGATGCTCGCTCCCTCTCAAATTCCCTATGCTTATGCAAGTAGCCTCCAATGGCCTGTGAGTAGTCATCAAACCCTAGCGACCCAAGAGCCCAACAAATGTCGTCTCCATTCACCGTCTTGCGGTTTTCCTTATGACACTTGTCAGATGCCTCCCCGGTAACAAAACTTATGAACTCTGAAGCACACTCTTGTATAGTTTCCTTGGCTTCTTTGGAGATTTTAGCTGTGGGTGGTAGGATCCTTTTCATGATCCTACCCACATTTGCAACGGGCAACAATTTATCATGCTCATCCACCATGACTATATCTATCTCTAGGTTTGGTCAAGATCTTCTAAAACACAGACACGTTTCACTTTATATATATGTGTGTATGGATGCATATCCACATGTGGATATACTTACATGTACATGAAAGGTTGTGTTGACACTTGACATATATTTAGTTACATGGCTTGGCTAAATATTGGAGGTGCGGTCACATTTGTATCTATAACTTCTTTTAAAACCAAAAAGTAATGTATTCTAAACCAAAACTGAATCCATGATGACTAGAACAGAAGTGCTTATTTTATAAAATGTTGAAAAGGACAAGAAAAGCATGAATTAGGAGGAATAAAGAACTAGATCCAGCTTGAACTGTATGTTAGGAGTATTGGTAAAAAAATCCCAACAACAAAGAAAAGTAATGCCATCCTATCTCTTATCCTTTGGTATTCACCAAATTCCATCAAACTATTATGCAAAATCTGGATGTAGTTTGAAAACTATTCCTCTAATTTCGTATTTTATTCTTCTGCATTGTCCCTTCCACCAGGATTATATTCCCATATTATACTCATTTTGGCCTTGGTGCATCTAAACAGCCAATCTTGATCCTAGCTATGTGATGGCAATATAAATCTCTGAGGCATGAAGATACCAAATTAAGCTACTAGCTGCTAGCTCAATGTTCCTCTACTGAACTTCCCAAATGTACACATCTTGTTCCTTTTTATAACTCCGATTATCTTATTCATACTTAGATGACTCGCTGTACATTTCTGCACTTTTATTTACCTTATCATCATTTGTATTTTTCTAGGACTCAACTATTGGTGGTGCAACATTCAATCATAATTCAAGTAAGTGAACTAATCTAGTATTAGAGATTGAAATCTTATTAGCTATTCATCGAAGACTTGAAAGCTCATTTGAAAAGAATTGTTATTCATTATGTGTAGCTGAGTACCGAAGATTTTCATCAACCATTATTTGTTCTTCGCCCTCTTATCATCATGTTTTCCGTTCTAGTTAATTAAATTTCTCTTCTAAGGATTGTTCAAGTTTAGCAATTCACAAGGCTTGATCAATGATTCGATGAATTACCCAGCAAAAGTAATGACAATAAACATAGAACCATTCTTAGGACATCGATCCACAAAGACAACACAACACAATCAATTTTATAAATATAGAGTATGTGATATATCTACATCAGCCAAGGCACATGATCTACACTCAACTGTTGGTTAAAACTTTGGTTAGTTCTTCCAACTGCAAAACTAGTATTACAATCTTTGAACATTGTTTTAGTGTCTCTCCCTTCCCCTCCCCCCACCACTGTTAAAAAGTCCTACACTGACAATTAAATTAATGCTGATTGCTGAACCAGTTATTAAAACCTTATCACATGAGGATTTTGGTAATCTTTTTAAGAAGCAAAGGGAGAATGAAAGAAAATCAGAAGATTACAAGGGTGGTGCAGGTGTACAAGGAAGATATAAAAAAATGAAAATGGGATCCGCCACCTAAAGTTGAAGTAGAAGATCCATCCTTGAATACATGGATAATGAGAAAGAATAAGCAAAAGCCACATCTCCCTCAAGGTCAGAAACTCAAAAAACCTTGGCCTTTCAATGAATTTCTAGTTGATGAATGTAAATTCCTTAGAGCTCTCAATGTTTACACAATTTGGTTGTATTTTCGTTCATCCAAATATCATATTCTCCTTGAATAATCCTGTATATTTATTTTCATTCTAATTACTCTTGATTTGTGCAGTCAATCAAAAAGAGAAAAGGGTTCAAAAGTGAAAAAAAAAACTACAACATAGATTTGTAGCTGTAATATTCCGTACCAATGATATCATGTCTGAGGAGTGGTGATATGAGACTGGACAGGCAATGATCTGGGTATAGAAGTGTGAAGGAGTTGATCTCCTTAATTAATGGAAGCCAAATCACTATTAGGGAGTCACTGGGTAAAGATCTTATTTAAGCTAAAGGAAGGATAAGCTTTTCTATTATCTTCGTTAGCGAAAATAAATGATCAGATGACGACTGTAACATGAGCACCAAAACCTGCTTTACCTCATAGTGAAACTTATCTGGATCATCATTTTTAAAATCATGACTGTTTTTAAGAGATGAATCTCAACCTCAATCAATAAGGGATACTGAAGGGAAATTCTACCATGATGTGAATAAATCGAATGCACCTAAGAACCCAAGGGGTTACACTAACTTGAACTTATGTCGGAAAACTAAAGATGGATATGTAAAGACAAAACTTAATGAATATATCAAACAGATATCTCCAACTGATTTGCATCTCTTCATATAGAGCTGTTATCTCCAGACTTTTATGGTTAGGGAGCGATTCTCAAATAATATTAAAAACTAAGTTACCTTATCACTGAAGCCAAGACTCTAATCACAGCTTGTTCATTCTTGTTAGGCCATTTAAGAATGAGGGTGTTCTTTGGTGGATGGTTTAGGATTCTGGTTAATGCACAATGACCCAAGCATAATCCTTTCCTCTATAAAATCAAATCTAAAAGGATCTTTTATCGTTTGTTGTCAAAAACTTGCTTAAGTATTTTCAATGAATACAACTTCAAAGTTTTGTACTTGATATGGAAGTTTCTAGTCGTGCATGGTCTAGACAAGCTGAATTCATAGAAGGAATCTAGGGTAGGGAAGGAATGAGGAAGGTGTTTAGGCTGCATAAAAGCATAGGAAATCAACTACAAGAATGTTATACAGACATTACTCGATCCAATTGAATGAGCAAAAATTATTTACAGTCCTTTGTGGGTGTTGAGATTGCAGGGGTAGGGAAGGAATGAGGGAGGTGTTTAGGCCACAAAAATGCATAAGAAGCTTCATGGAGGAGGAAATGTCGCAATTTTCTGATTTGAGCGAAGTAGATACTACTTTGATATTGAATTCAATTGAGTTAGTTCAATTTTTTTTCCTTGGCAATTAGCAATAACAATTTATGTCACTATCTGAAGTCTAAAAAATAAATAAAGACACAAATATCTTTTATTTTCTAGAAGTTTCCATTGCTTTTTTAGACTCTTGGTGATAAAGAGTCTACTTTCTCTTCTTCCTCCTTACCTCGGTGCGTCCTTTTTGTTTTTAATTACCAAAAAGAACGGCAACAAACCATATTCAGAAAGCACAATCTATCTCAACAATGAAAAATTACTATCCTAACATAATATATATATATATATATATATATAGCTAAGATACATACATACATACATATATTCATTTATGCATGCATACATATGCAAATACATGGATGTATCTTTTTAGATACATATACACTTATTTCATCATATGAAGATTCCTTGACTTCTGTATACAGCCGAAGGGATGACTTCAAGCTTAACGATTCTCTTTTCATATTTATGCTAGTAATGTGGTTAAGTACATGGTCCCCCCCTCCCCCTCCCCCTTCTATGGTCAAGTACACCCCACTAAATTGTTTTAAATGGTCCCTCAAACCTTCTTTGTTCCCATAATGCCTGGGATTAGGTTTTGTAATGACTGGATGGACATAAAATAAATGTGCAACTATATACATACATAATATATATATACATGAACATATTTAAAAAAATATGAAAACGGACAAATCACATGTGATTTTACACTAACATCACTTGCAAAATCACATGTGATAAATTTTTGATTATATATATATATATATATATATATATATATACTATCTTATAAAGCATTTGGGTAAAACTCTTAAAAACTCTTAAAACTCCTAAAAATTCTTAAACTCGTTCATCCCTAAATGATTTCATCCCTAAATGATTTCATCCCTATCCGATTTCATCCCATATCTGAATTCATGTAACTAACTGCAGATAAACACAATCAAATACATGATAAACATCTCATTTTAAATATAAAAAATCTAAAATATAATTAGTATAATCATTAAATT